CGACCTTAAGCCATTCCAGCACCGAGCTCGTCATGTGAAACACTAGCCAATCAAATTGAATCAGTTCAATGAGTGGCTGCAGATGATCGGGGACCCACGCCCTGGGAGCAAGCCTCAATGGTAGAAACAGGCACTGACAACTCAATAACTGAGCGGAAGCTTGTCTAGCAAAACAAATTTTCTGCTAATAGCTCGGTCTGCACCTGAAATACTCGCAGATAGGGCTGCTCGTCACCCGAGGCTTCACTGTACTTGTGTTCTTCGCTGGGGGTCGCAGCTGATGCGACTATTGCTTGCTGCTTCGTACTCGAGCTACTGATTGCCGTGATTTCATCACCCGCGTCGACTCGTGACGTGACTCACCCCCGTGGACCTTTAACTCAAGCCGGCTGAGGTCACGGCTTTTCTCCGTCTCCCTACCGCAGCCAGTTTGGACTCCGGCAGGGACTCCTGATCCAATGAGGGCTACTAACCAACCAACTCTTGAAGTGAAAACTACTCGGCAATTTGGCCTACTGGTCATCCGCATCCCAGGCAAAAACGCAGCAGAAAGAGGAAGATCCCGGAAAATGGCATTGAGTGTCAATACCTGCTCCCGTTCGATGAAGACGAAGGTGTCATCCACGTACCTTCAAAGAACACCTCAATGGCGTCTTTCTAGACATCTAATTAACGATGGGGGGGGGCAGAAAAACGGTCAGCTAGCCTTCCTTGATGCCCCCGTTTGCCGCAAAGGTTGTGGTAGCCGAACAACTAGAGCATTCAGGAAAGCGACAAATATGACGCAAGTACTGAACCTCAACAACCATAACCGCCTAATTGGGCACAAAAACGGTGGCGTACGGGAGCTATATCTACGTTTTGCCACCCACTACAACGAACGAGAAGGTTGCCGAATTTTAATACCTTCGAAGGGTGTTCAAAGCAAATGGCTAGCTATGCAACTTTGTTGACAGTTGCATGCGGAACCACGACAAGGAAAGGAACTGCACCAGTCCCAAATTTTGGCGAGCGTTACCGCAAGTTTCAGCAGCCCCCACCGGGTACTGAAGCCGAGACGGCAGGACAAAATCCCGGAGAGAACGGAGCCCTCGAGAGAACGGGAATTCTCAACATCCACTCTATGCTGAGGTAACTACGACTGCGATGGAGCGGCCACTTGGTGCGGATGGACGGCCAACGACTACCCAAGAGGCTGTTCTACGGTGATATCGCTGTGGGTGCTCGTCGCCAAGGACACTTTGAAGCACCTTTAAATCAACACGACGACCTGAGAGGAAGTCGGACAGGACAAA